ATTCTATAAGAAAGCAGGCTGAGCAAGTCCTGTGAAGCAAACCAGCAAGCAGTACCCCTCCATGACTTCTGCATCAGCTCCTGCCTCCAGGATCCTGCCCTGTTTGAGTTCCTGTCCTTACTTCCTTCAGTAATGAACAGCAATATGGAAGTGTAAGTCAAATAAACCCTGTCCTCACCAACTTACCCTTTTGTCATGGTGTTTCACTGCAGCAGTAGAAACCCTAACCAAGACATGGATCATCCAGGGTATGTGGAGATAGAGGCCGAGCAGAAGAAATGTCTTGGTTAAAACCTCCGAATTAAAAACCAAAACTGTCTATGAAAGCTTCCAGGCCTGGCAGGTAAGGAAAGTCGACAATGCAAAACAAGTCTTATCTCAAAGGAGACAAGAAATTGTTTATTCTGGAGTCAAACGTGAATGGCCATGGATGGATTGGGAACACAGATTTCGGTTACCCACAATTCTATGTTCCACCATGGTAACAGTTTGTTTAAGCTTTTGTAGTACAGAACAAAGTCTTAAGTAAAGACACTTTTAAGACATACTGGGTTAATAAAATTACTTTCAAAAAAAAAAGACATACTGGGGAAGGTGGTGGGCTAAAGCAAGGTAGGGGAAATCTCCACTTTAAGCCTTGGCTTTTATCTGATAATGCTTTTAGGATTTTGGTTGGCAGGGGTAAGGAAGAAGGTCTATTTGTAAATTCCAAAACATGTGCCAATTGCTTGCAAAGCTGCTAACTCACACACAGAGGAGAGCAATGAATGTCTGTGACAAAGACTACAAATGCCCCAGAGTAGTTTGGTTCTGGACTTGAAACATTTCAATCTCTCCTCACCGCAATCATTGAATCCCTAATCATTTGGTCAGCCTTGCCAAAGGGTTAGTGGGAAATGTAGTTTCTTTTATGCACAAGCATCTTTACTCTTCTGTGCCTTTGAGGCCCAGATGGGTGAGGAAATAAAATGTAGTTTGACATTCACCTTGGCTCCCCATCAGGTTTCCTTTGCTAAACAAAGGTTTCCTAAGCCCTTCCATGGTCACCAGTGTAGTGATATTTTATTTGTATTTTAATTTTTTGCCTGAAGATTAGAGAGTAAAAGAGTCACCCTGGTCAGCCTTACAGACAAGGCAATGGTGACACACACATTTAATCCCAGTAGGCACACTAGTTTGTCATAGAAACTGGGTGGTGCAAGTCTTTAAACCCAGCCTTAGAGAGGAATATAAGATGGGAGGAGACAGCTCTCACACAGTCTCATTCTAAGATTCCTGGAGGCAGGATCGCCATTTCAGACTCAGGTAGAGGTAAGAGTCAGTGGCTGGTTGTTTTGCTTTTCTAACCTTCAGGTTGAACCCCAACATCGGTCTCTGGGTTTTTATTAATTGTGCTATACACCAGAAGGTAAGACTGTGAGTTGCAGGGGCTACCACATGGGAACCTGTGGATTGGGGACAGCAGCTGCCCTGAGACAAATTCTCACAGAACCATGACCTGGAAGGAGTCAGTCTACAAGGCACAAGCTGTTAGCCAAGGCCATTTTATAAAGCGCTCTCATTTCATTCTAGTTTACGGTGATAGTTCCAGAAACTGAACTGGGTTTCTAGAATTAAACAAAATCTCTTTCCTTAGATTCCTAGCCACCTCCAACCCCGCACCACCACTACTGACCCAGCTTCACACTGGCTGCCTCTAGAGATGTATATCAATCACCCACACCCCTTAACTCACTGCTCCCTGGTTACCTACCTCTAAGCACCCCTAACAATGGACAACCACTGCTCCTCAAGGAAACCTTTCAACCCCTTTCCTTTCCTTTTTCCGCCCTGTAAGCAGACAGGAACAGACTCAGATTCCTACACCAAATTCCTACTCTGCCCTGTTTTACTCCAGAATAGACGCCATTGCTGCCCTTATGTTGTTGGTTTCCTGTCTGTCTTTCCTTCTTGCCGGCTGACCACGCATCAGCCGCTCCCTTAGGTTTCTATGGCTGTGATGGACACCATGATCAAAAGCAACTTGAGAAGGTAAAGCTTTATTTTACCTTACAGCTTAGAGTCCTTCGTGAAGGGGGGTGGGGGAAGGAACTCAAGGCAGGAACTGAGAGGCAGGAGCTGAAGCATAGACCATAGAGCAATGGTGCTAACTGGTTTGCCCAGCCTACCTTCTTATATAACCCCAAACCACCTGTGTAGGGGTGATATGCCCACAGTGAGCTGGACCCTCTCACACAAAAACACCCTGTTGCCCTCTGGAGTAGCTTACAGACAGTTTGAGAGAGGCAGTGTCTCAGTCAAGGTTCCTCTTCCTAGACAACTCTTGTGTCTAGTTGACCAAAGCCAATCAGGACAGTGGCCCTTTTGGAGAAGCAAAGTATGGACTTCCCAATAGGACCCCCCACCCTGCTTTTTTCACTCTCTCACCTTTCTCTACCCCCCAACCCCACCTCGAGGAACCCAGAGAGAGGCCATCTCATTACCTTCCTGGCATCCACCACCAGCTGATTCCACTTTGAGGGAGTTTTGAGGTTTTTCTCCCTCCTTTGGAAGCTCTTCCATTTGGACCACCCACAAGATGGATTTCTCAGGAATGCTGGCACTGAGTGGAAACTTCCAGAGGTCATGCAGCGGGTCCTTGAGAGAACCGGTGAAGACACCACACTTCCTTTCAGGGCATGACAAACCTCCTCAGAACATGGACAACTTTCCTCCACATCAGTCAGAAAGGGGCACCTTTGACTGCCAGATTCAAAGAGACTTTGAACTTCTCCTCCAGCACAACGGAAAGCAGGCTGAGGTTCCAACATGCAAATTTTTATCTACACCCCCACCCCTGTCAACTGTGACCCCTCTCTTCACTCATCTTGCTTTGTCTTTCAGGTTCTCTTCTCCATGAGTAGCCTCCTCACCAGCCTCCTAAATACAGCCACTCTTCTGCTAAATATGGTTCCTCTTCTGCTAAATATTGCCCCTCTTCTGATTTACCTTCTTCCTTGGACTTTGGTCCCGCAGACCAGAACTCTCCTGCCACCACCTCCTCCCAAGGATAACCCTTCCCCCAGCTTCTGCTCCTTCTCCTCCTGGTCCACCCAGACTCGCCTCAAGGATACCATCTTCCCTACCTGGCCCCAACCTTTACCCACCTTCTGCCCTTCCACCAAGACTTTCCTACCCACACCCCTCTTTCTTCAGTACATCCTCACTCTCATTCATTGCTCTTTTCACAAACTCCCACTCTGAAAGTCTCCTGGACCGGAGGGCCCCATGCACAGCCGTGTCCTCCTTTTCCTTGTTGATCTCTCTGAGAGAGGAAAGCTTCTGGGCTCCCTTGTCTCTGGCTCTAACATTTATTACAAAGAATCCCAATGTCTCTACAGTCCTATGACCAAACTTGGCATGGCAGGTCTGTCACCTTGACATCCACCCTGTCTTCTGAGGACAGGTAGCACATCTGGATGGCAGCTCAAGTACACATCAACACTGGTCTATACTAGAATCATAACCCAGCCTGTGCTGGGAAGCTTCACACGGCTCCCCACTGGAATAACCAGCAGTTCAAACAATCTCCAAGGAGGACCAGAGAAGGTAATGGGTGAATAGGACCAAAATGCATTGTACCTATGGATGAAAATGTCATAATAAAATTCATTAGTATGTATAATTAATATATATTAATAAAAAAGGTGGGTTTTGGGTTTTTGGTTTTTAGAAAGGGATTAAGATATAATTCAGTGATAGAGCATCTGCCTGGTGTGAGGAAAGCCCTAGACTCAACCTAAGGCCTGCTAAATTAGTTGATTAACTAATTTAAAATGTGGTAGCTAGAACTGTATCACTAACCTCTTAAATTATAAGTAATAGCTGCGGACATAAAGAACATGCATAACATATGAGGTTCTGGGACAGACTCCTTACACACATACAAAAACTATGAACACAGTGGTTGGTAATATGTGTGATGGACAAAGTCACGAGAAAAGCGGGGGGCAGAGGTGAGCAAGCAGGAACCAAACTGAGCTTCTAAAATCAGTAACATTAATACCGATCCTAGCTCAGACTGCCTAGAGAGAACCTCGGGTTCCTCATTTATAAATGGGAGCAAAGCTCTGATCTCCACATCTTACAGGCCCACCGACAATCAAAGTAAACACTCCAATGAGACAGACTGTTGGGGAAAGTTATTTTCGGGAATGTGATTTTTGTTTACATTGCATTTGTTTAACTCTGTGAAGCTCTGATTCTTTGCCATCTAAAACACCTGATGGCCTAATAAAGAGCTGAATGGCCAATAGCAAGTTAGGAGCAAAGATAGGCGGGGCTGGCAGGCAGAGAGAATAAAGAGAAGGAGACCCGAGGGAAAGGAGGAGCAAAGAGAGAACAAGGAGAGGAGGTTAGCAGGGCCAGCCACCCAGTCAGTCACTGAGTAAGAGTGAAAGCAAGAGATACAGAAGTAAGAAAAGATAAAGGTCCAGAGGCAAAAGGTAGTTGGGATAATTTAAGATAAATTAAGAAAAGTTGGCAGAAAACAAGCCAAGCTAAGGCCAGGCATTCTTAACTAAGAATAAGCCTTCATGTGTGATTTATCTGGGACTTGGGTGGTAGCTCCCCTCCAAAGCTGAAAGAGTAAAACCTCACACAACAAGAGGCGTGCATACCATGCAACTTTATTCAAATATCAGTATTATGAATGTGCACAGAGCCAAACAATGGCCTTGCATCCATCTTGGCTTCAGTGCCCGAGACTGAACCTAGGACCCAAGGCATGCCAAGCATATACTCTACCACTGGGCAATGCCCATTCCTTATCCCATTTCCAAAAGTCAACTCAACATTGAAGAATATCTTAAAGGACCTTCATCTACTGGAGGTAAGAGACTCCAAGTTACTGCCAGTGTTTGTGAATCAAATGAACAATTTTGATTATTGGGCAAATTCATTTATGTGGGAACAACTCATTTCCTAACTGAAATTAAATGAGATGATTGAATATTGGTTACCTGGGAGAAGAGGCTGGGAACAGAGCAGGAAGGTGGGAAGAGAATTGGTTTTCTTTATAAATCTTGGCATTGACTTATTAGCTATAGTGAGCTCAAATTACCTTTGCAACCTGAAAAAAAAAGATTAAAAAGAAAATGAAGTATTCCTCATACAAGGGAAAGAGAAGTGTAGATGCTGTGTGCCTTTGCCAGTCGCTTAGCAGATCAGAGCCTTCAGTCTGCAGCAGGTTTCCCCTGCCACTTAGCCCCGCACCGTGGACAGAGGCTGCTGGCTAGCTGCCTGGTAGCCTCATGAGGCTACTTAGGACATTGAACTCTGTTCTCACCCCAGTCTTGGTGAAAAAAGAATCTTACAGTCTCTTGTGACCACTGATATTTGATTGAACCATCCAAAAATATCTATTCAGGATTGCTTTTGGTCCACACAAACAATTTTAATTTAATATCTTTAATGCAACATTCTAGTCTAGATCCAACCCCGAGGGTGGGGGTATGTGTGTAAATGAAGACCATGGCAAGCCTACAACCCCTCTCCCTACTCCCATCCTGAGTGACTATTCTTTCTGCAAAGCTTTGTCTTATGCTGGGGCTGTGGTACTCACACCTCAGGTTTGCTGGAGAGCTTGTGAATTCGGTCAGTAGAGCATTCTCTCAGTGTGTGTGAGACTATGGGTTAGAACCCCAGTACCACATAAACCCGGTGTGGTGATGCCTTTAATCTCAGTGTTTGGGAGGAGGAAACAGAAGGATCAGAAGTTCAAGGTCCCATTCTGCCAGGTGAGATTCTATCTCACAGAGGGGGAAAAAGATACCCGAGGTCAATTCCAGAGCTTGCGAACTGAGGCAGACTTGAACACTTCATTCTTTCTTAAGTTCTGCAGGTGAACTCCCGGGCACAGATCCGACTCTCAACTTTGACCTTTCACTGTCACTTCCACAATAGGCTATACTTTAGAACAGTGGTTCTCAACCTGTGGGCCAGGACCCCTTTGAAGGCTGAATGACCATGTCACAGGGGTCGCCAAAGACCATCCAAACAAATACAGATATTTACATTACGATTCATAACGGTAGAAAAATTACAGTTGTGAAGAGCAATGAAAATATTGTTTTGGTGGGGGGTCACTACAACACAAGGAGCTGTATTAAAGGGCCACAGCATTAGGAGGCTTGAGAAGAAGCACTACTCTAGAATCTCCTGGAGATAATTCTGGAGGTGGGAGCTGAGCATCACCATCTTATAAAGTTCTCCAAGTGGTGTTCATGTACAGCCCAGCTTGGGCACTCTGGCATGGGCAACGATGGAGTCTGTTAACCTTTGTTTCTAGAAACTGGAAGTTCACTGTAGCCCAGATTTGAACAACGTCACCCAGAAGTACCCAGAAGTGTGGACTGGGATTAGATTTGCTCATGGGAGTGACTTTGGTTAGACCCAGAATCAAGGGCTCTCTCTTCTCCAGGACCAGGTTTGTCAGCCTTCTTCTCCTGGCCATGGAGTTGGGACACTGAGGAAGCCTCTGATCTTAGCCCCTTCTGTTTCCTGGCAGCCTCTCCTTCAGATGCCCACTTCATTTGGGAATCACTTCCCCTGCATGGGAGTGCAGCCTGGACCCACCAGGGAGCTGTTGCCATGACAATGGTGGCATACTGTTCCATGGAATTCACAAGACTCTTCCAACTTCCTTGTTGTGGAGAGTTCCTCTCTGCTTTGGGAGGATGGGACAAATCAGGCGACACCAGACTCTCAAGGCAAACAGAATCTTCCTAGTTTCTTGAGGTACTGAAAGACACCAGTTTTCATGAGTCAGATGTGGGGCTATGTACCTAGACTCCCTGTATTGAGGAGGCAGAAGCAGGAAGATCAGGACTTCAAGACCAATCTCTGATACACAGTGAGGTAGGCTGGAGGCCGCCAGCCTGGGCTGCATTAAACTCTGCCTAGAGGAAGAAAAATAAAAACAATAAGAAAGAAACCAGTTTTCATGAGGCAGGTGTGGTGTCTCATAACCACTTGGGAGTTTGAGATTAGATTGTCCAGAGTTCAAAGCTAGCCTGAGCTTCAGAGTGGGACCTTTCCTTACAAAGAACAAAGCAGCCAGCTTCTCTGGGAGCAACGCTTCAGTGCCATCCTTCCAGAGAGATGCCGCAGCAGGGAAATGCCAGCAAGAAGAATGATCCCGAAGAAAGCAGAAGGCTGGAGTGCTCATCTGTTGCCTATTGCTGTATCGTCAACCATGTTCCAATGTATTATTGGCTCCCAACACTCTAGCAGGCAGGGCTTCGCCAGCAGCTGGGAGCTTCTGGCTTGAGATTGCACACGAACTTCCAGTCAACAGCTTAGCCCGGGCGACAGTCGTCTGGGGCCAGATTGGAACTGACAGATCCGCTTCCAAGATGGCTCGCTCACAGGGCCGTTGGCCCGAGGCCTCAGTTTCACATGTGGCCTGGTCTGTGGGTCTGTGATAGGATGGTTAATCTCAGCTGTCAACTTGCTGAGAGCTACGCTCACCTGGGAAGTAAGTCTCTGTGCATGTCTGTGGGAGATTATCTTGACTAGGTAAAACGAGATGGGAAGAACCACTAAACAGTGGGTGGCACATTCCCCAGGCTGGGACCCTGCATTGCATAGGAAAGAGAAAGTGGGCCTAGCATTCATGGATCTCTTCTTCCTGACGGTCTGCTGCTTCAGAGCTCTTTTTAAAGTATACCTGTCTATCAAACCATATGCACAGTTCCTACATAAGCACAGTCTGTGTCTCAGCCCCCAAATTATCAGGATACTATAACATGTGTAGGAATCTAACTTTAGACAAGGTGAAGTATTGACCCATATAAATGGAAAATTCAGGAGGAGGAAGCTTCAGGTATGGCTGGGTCTCGAACTTTTAGCCGCGCTGCTGTGGCCTTTCTGTCTGAACTTCATGATCCTGCTCTGCATCAGAGTTACTCTCCTTCAGCTCTCTGTTTACCATGGTACCCAGCTGTTCCAGTCCTGCTGATTCTAAGGATCAACCTAGGTATGGAAGTTACCAGAAGCATTTGAATTTTTTTTTTCTTTCTGCGGCACTGGGGTTGAAACTAGGACCTTCTGCATCGCAAACAAATGCTCAACCATTGATATATTTTTCATTAAAAATATTAGGACATGAGTTAGGGAAAAATTGGCTCAGTGGTTAAGAGCATGTGCTGCTTATACAGAGGACCTGAGTCCAGGCCCCTAACACCCATGAGGGTGGCTCACAATCATCTAAAACTTCGGCTTCAGAGGATCTGTAATTTAAAAAATAATTATTAACAAAATTTAATTCTACCACTTGAGAGCAGAAGCAGGCAGATCTGTGTGAGTCTAGGCTGGCCTCGAATTCACTAAGATCCTTAGGCATCGCTTCCCAAGTGCTGGGGCTAGAGGTGGGCACCACCATGCCTGGTCTTGAAGATTCCTTTGTTTTTGGTTTATGTGTGTGGGTGTTATGTACCTGGTGTCCATGGAGGCTGGAAAATGGTATCAGATCTCCTAGACCTAGAGTTACAGACAATTGTGAGCCACCATGGGGGTGCTGGGAATTGAACCCGGGTCATCTTGGAGAGAAGCGAGTATTCTCTCCAGCTATCCTCTCATCCTCCCCTTGAACTTTTATTCTGACCAAGAATATATAAATACACTGGTTGCTTTACCCTGCAATATATGTTCACTCTGAATCAGTTCTATCCAAAAGAATGAGAGAAAGGCAGATGATAGTCCTTGGGCGTCCATTTTCTCATTGCACCATTGGTTCCTGAGATTGACCCTAAGCCAACAGGCAAGCCCACTAAACCATCTGGCCAGGTCAGCTACCGCATGCATCTGCCGTCTGCAGCCTTTCCCATATGCCATGATGCCTTGCAATAAAACAACAACAAAACAACAAAAAAACCTGTTCATCCTTTATAAACTGTTCATCCCAACCATTGGAGGCTGATTGCAAGCTCAAGGTCAGCCTGGGTTACATGGTGACTCCACATGAGCCTGACCGAACTAGTGCAATGATGTCTGAAAACAAGTTTTGACGATATAGCTTTCGAGGTGGAGTGTTTGCCCAGCAGCGTAAGATCCTGGATTCAATCCTCAATACTGCAGGATTAAAATTAGAGTAGAAGAGGAAGAAAAAACAGAGTGAAAGAAAGAGAGAAGGGAGGGAGGGCAAGGGAGAGGGGGAAAAGGAAAAAGAAAGCTTCAGTTCTGGGAGTGGCTTCTTTTAGAATCTAGCCCTCAGGAACCTGTCATTTTAGTAGCTTTGCTGTTGCTACAATAGAACACTTGTAACTGGGTAATTTGTGAAGAAAAGAGGTCCTGGTAAGCTTGGTTCATCGGAGAATGTTGGCTACAAAATTTGTGACTTGGACAAAGATTGAATTCATGGAGGGTCCAGAAACTAATGGCCAATTCCAATTCACTGGTGCTAAAAAAAAATATTTCAACTCTTATACGCCCACAGGTAAAATGAATTGTGTGCTGGCCACATACAGTGACATTGCTTTGTTGGTCTTATACTTCAAGGTAAGAAAAACAAAACAACAAACAATAGCAAAAATCCCAAACCAAAAAACCCTCAACCAAACAACCAAACAACCAAACAACCAACCAACCAAACAAACAAACCCTCCAGCTGTGAAATCACCACAGTGGATTCGAAAACATCTGACCTCACCTGTTACGTCTCACACCTGAGGGAGCTGATGCCAACTCATCAGGCAATACTCAGTTTGTACAGTAAATTGTGAATCTGGAAAAGAGAAGAGAGGTCTAGTTAGCTCAGAGTGGAGAGGCTGGGAGGCCAAGAGCATGGCCTGTTACCTGATCAGACCCTCAGTGCTGGGAAGCCAGTCCTAAATAACACATTCTCTAATCCGTTCTGGATTTAGCCATTCATGAGTCTCAAGGGCAAGTCTCAAGACCCACTCACCTCCTAGAAGTCCACCTCTCAACACAGCTACATTGGGTACCAAGGTTCCAGCATATGGAATTCCTATGGGGGGGGGGAGCATATTCAAATCAGAACTCATTGCTTAATCAATATCTCCTGCCAGGTTTACAGATGCATACTGGGCTAGGGTAGAGACTGTCCAGACTTGGTCCATCTTGGGATGAAGGTGAGTGAGTCTGCTTTAGTCATGGGCAACTTTAAAAAAAAAAAACTTAAAAAATTTATCTTATATGTATTTTTTTCTATTTAACTTTATGCATATGAATGTATTGCCTGCATAAATGTCATATACTATGTGCATGCCTGGTGCCTGCTGAGGGCACAGGATTCTCTGGAATTTGAGTTACAGTTTGGTTGTGAGCCACCATCTGGGTACCGGAGGTCAAGCTCGGTCCTCTACAAGAGCAAGAAGTGCTCTTAACCACTGAGCCATCTCTCCAGCCTCTATGATTTATTTTTGAGACAGGGTCTCACTATACAGGCCTAGATGGACTGGAACACACTATGTAGATTAGGCTAACCTCCAATTCAAAGAGAGCCATCTGCCTCTGTCTCCCAAGTGCTGGGATTAAAGTGTGTGCCACCACTACCAGCCTAAAGTGTTTTTTTTTAAATTATGTCTATATGCATGTGTATTTATGGACATGCAATACCCCTGGAGGCCTAAAGAAGGCATCAGATTTCCATGGAGCAAGAGTTAAAGAGATTATGAACCCCCTTGATATGAATGCTGGGGAACTGAACTTGGGTCCTCTGGGAGAACAGTGCATGCTCTTAGTGGGGGAGCTATCTCTCCAGGCATTGGGGAGCATTTTAACAGTCTGCATATTCTTCAGTTTAGACCTTATCGATTCTATCATATGGGGGTTCTTAGCAGACACCCCTTCACATAGCCCTTCCTATATTACCTGTGAGTAATTCTTCAAGACAGCAGAGAGAAATCACTGGGATCTGTAATTATGGCTCGGGCTGGGTGAATAGGCTGCTCTTAGCAGCAATGCCCACCAGATCCAGCTGCTTGCTGGCACCCGCTATGGCTCCCTCCTTCCCCTGTAAGAGTCCGTATCTGTATAGTAGTTACTCTACCAAGACTGATGAGTTCGCTAAATTCTGCATCTTAAAATCTGGTTCTGTGGAATTTTGCAGGGGCAATGGCTTCTATTTTTAAAAGAGCTGGGTTTTGTTTTTTGTTTTTCTCTTCTAATCATTTTCACGTGAAATTTGTACTCAGTGCAGCCGTTTGGAAATCCCAGCTGCGGTGTGGAGACTTCCCGAGCCATGTGGAACGAGGTGAGGGTTGCCCAGAGTGGGATCCTGTGTATTGGTGCTCTGGTGGTCCCTTAGATAACTGAGGGAGATGCAAGCATGTAAGAGAAGAATAGGTTGACTATTTCATGTGTATGAGACCCATTGATTCAGGAATATAGTTGCAATGATAAAACATGACTAGAAAGTTCACAATGGCTCTATACTGGATGATTCAAAGAAAAATATTCCCTGTGTTCAGATTAGGCTGAAAACACAGTCTTGGTTTGATTCCTATAATTAGTTATAATGGGATGATATAAACTTGGTGGCTGAAAACAAAATACAAGTACTCTTCTACAGTTGTGGAAGCCAGACTATCTAAACCAGTTTGCCCTGGTGACATCAAGTTGTTGAGACATCTCAGCTCCTTCCAGAGGCACCACGACCCCTTCCCCACCTGCTTCCACAAAGAAACCAGGAGCCTGAGCCATACCTCCTCCTTCCTGAATGCTTTACTCCTCTAGTATCTTCAAGGAAATGTAGGCTGCAGCAGATGGCAATGGCAATTCTCTATCAGGCAGTCGAGAGCCCTAAAAGAAAGTAATGTGCATCTCTTGGCTTCCCTGGAGGCTAGCAGCATTCCTGGATGCGTAGCTGCATGGTTCCAGTCTATGGTGTGTGTGTGTGTGTGTGT